GATAGAGAGATAGAAAGATAGAGAGAGATAGTTAGAGAGATAGTTAGAGAAATAGTTAGAGAGATAGTTAGAGAAATAGTTAGAGAGATAGAGAGATAGTTAGAGAGATAGTTAGAGAGATAGAGAGATAGTTAGAGAGATAGTTAGAGATAATTAGACAGATAGTTAGAGAGAGATAGTTAGAGATAGTTAGAGAGATAAACACTCCATGAGGCTTGGGAGAGATGCGTGGAGAGAGATGATGTATCTCTGTGTGTGTCCCTAAGTCGATGAGTCTCTCTCTAGTAGTGTCTACGAGTCTTCGTTGGAGTGTGTCTACGAGTGTCTACGAGTGTGGGGAGCGGTGGTGCAGCGGTTAGCGCTACGCCGCGCTATGAACCTGGCGACCCGGGTTCGATTCCCGCTCACGGCCAACACCACCGGTGACGATTATCTGAACCGGTACCCGGGCCTCCCCTAGGTCGACTCGGCCTCAAATGTGTACCTGGTGCGGTGTGTAAACATCGCCACTGGGGAGACAAAGGCGGTCGGGCGTGGTGCTGGACACCCACCCCCTCGTGTACCGTTCCGGCCTTCATAGGTGGTCACTAACAGCACTTGCCCCTACAGTCTGTTAAGGCTATATGGGGGATCTTTGTCTTTGTGTATCTGTGTGCGTATATCTGTGTGCGTATATCTGTGTGTGTATGTATCTACGTGTGTATGTATCTGTGTGTGTGTATCTATGTGTGTATGTATATATGTGTGTATCTGTGTGTGTATTTAGAGGTGGTGAACTTCTACGCTAACAACTACCTGGGAATCTGTGTGCATCTATGTGTATCTGTGTGTGTCCGGCAAAACAACCCCCTACCTCCTCGCGGTGCCAGACGGGCAAGGCTGTCGTGGAAAATGCTGTGGGGGGAGGGCCAATTCCGATTGGCCCCCTCCCCTCATGGCGTATGTGTCCACCACAGTGTCTAAATGGGGGCTCTGGACGGGTGCGAGGGGCTGGTAACCCCTCCACCTTCAATTAATTACCACTAAACTACGAGTTAAATATATAACTAATAAACTTGTGCCGGAAGCCCCGGGGGGACAGGCGTCTATGACGTCTCCTGGCCAAACCCCAATTGGCGGAGCCAAGAGATTGAATCTCTACCCTCGGGGCTCCTCCAGAAACAACGAAAAGCCACTACGGATGGCCACGTGGAATGTTCGAACACTCACTGCGGAGGAGAGGCTGCCACTCCTCTGTCGGGAGCTGGACCGGTACCGCCTGGATCTCTGTGGTATTCGGGAGATCCGGTAGACCGGTTCTGGCTCCTGCCACCATGAGGGGTGGACAGTCCTTTACTCGGGGCAGGAGACTGCCAAACAACAGGGTGTGGCTCTTCTTTGAACAAAAGAATGAAGGGGGGTGGGAGCGTGGCGGTGAGTTGTGGGAAGCTGTAAGCCCCAGGCTACTTTGGGCTCGCCTTCCCATCAACCGGAGGCGAGGAGTGGTGATCGTGGTTACTTATGCCCTCACCGAAGACGAACATCCGTGGAGGGATGCAGGCAAAGCCGATGAGTCGGATGCCTTCTATGACCTCCTGTCACAGGTGCTGGCTAAAGTGGCACCTTGGGTGACTTCAATGCCCGAGTTGGTCATGATGCTGGCACCTGGTCTGGAGTGATTGGAGGGCATGGGCCAGATCAGCTCAATAACAATGGTAGGAGGCTGCTAGATTTTTGTGCAGCCCATGGGCTTGTAATTACCAACACGCTGTTCTGGCATCGGCGCATCCACACATCATGGATGCATGCCGGGTCCAAGCAAGAACATCTGCTGGACGACATAGTGACGGACCAGCGGTTGCGAGCCCATGTCCTTGACACCAGGACCTACCATGTAGCTGATCTGCCCTCTGACCATCGACTAGTCATCTGTAAGATGCACCTGCCATTCTTCCACTCCGGTGGTGGGTGTACACCCAGGACCCCATTCCAACCTAAAGTGGCCTGGTCTCAGTTATCTGATGAAAGTTGCAAGCGAGAATTTCATCATCGCTTGCGGCTGGGATTGGCATCGTCGCCCACTCCTCCTGATGTCGAGGGTAAATGGGCGAGGTTTAGGACTGTGACTCATGCAGCTGCATTGGCTGCATTGGGTACATGGTCCAGACCTCCCCACAGACCCTGGCTGACAGAGGAGGTGTTCAGGATAGTTGAGAAAAAGCGACAGGCCCACTGTCATCGGCTACAGAATCCCACGTCAGAGAATGAGGAGGCTTACCGCAGCCTTCGCTCGGAGGTTCGGAGAGCCGTGAGGCGCTGCAAGGATGGGTGGTGGTTGCGGGTTGCTGAGGAGATGGAGTCTTCCTCAGTGGCCCGTGATCACAAATCTCTATTTAACTCCATCAAAAAAGTAACCTGCAGCGCCACACCTATTACCATCATTAGGGGAAAAAACGGTGATCCAATCTCCGACCCCCAGGAACAGGTTCGCAGATTTGCTGAGCATTTCTGTGAGGTCCTGGGGGAGGGAAAATCCCTCAGCCAGGAAAACATCGTGGCACAAAGTGAGGATGACCCTGCTGAGGCTGCGGTGCCTCAAATATTGGAAGAAGTCACCCCCTGTGAGTGGCTGGCTGAGGTGCCATCTGCTGAGGAAGTATTGAAGGCGATCCGGAGTCTGAGACCAGGAAAGGCAGCGGGCAGAGATGATCTCCCAAGCGAAATGCTGAGGGAGGGTGGCGTTTGTGCACAGACTGCCCTATATGACATCATAACAACAGTCTGGACCACTGGACGGGTTCCGCAGGATTGGAAGGATGCCCTGGTGGTCCCCCTTTTTAAGAAGGGGGACCGCACAGACTGTAACAACTACAGGGGCATCTCACTCCTTAGTGTGCCGGGAAAGGGCCTGGCAAGGATTATTCAACATCGCCTTGCCAGGCACGCTGAGGAGAGGCTTGCGGAGCCCCAATGCGGTTTCAGGAAAGGGCGGTCCTGCACAGATGCCATATTTTCTGTCCGTCTGCTACAGCAGAGGTGTAGGGAATTCCAACAAGACCTACATCTCTGCTTTATTGACCTGGTCAAGGCCTATGATACCATCAGTAGGCCTGGGCTCTGGGTCGTTCTTCGTGCTTTTGGAGTACCTGACCCTCTGCTCACGATCATTAAGGACCTTCATGATGGTGAGCGGGCCCGGGTAAAACTACGTGGCCGGGAGTCAGAGCCATTCCCTGTACACCTTGGGGTGCGACAGGGATGTCCTCTGGCTCCCACATTATTGAACATCTATTTTGACCACGTAGTTCGTGAAGCCTTCAATAGCTGTACCGGGGGAATCTCCATATGGTACAGATATAATGGGAGGCTAATCAATGCCCGGGTGCGGTCAAGGGATGGCTCCCTATTGCTCAACCACGTTATGTATGCTGATGATTTGGTAATAGCTGCTCAGTCAGAGGAGGAGTTGGAGACGCTGCTGCTGAGACTGGAGCGTGCCACTAAGAGGTGGGGCCTTACCATCAGCCCCACCAAAACTAGGCACCTGCCTGGGTATTTTGTACCATCGGACACTCCACCCCCACAACTCCCAATCGGTGATGGGGCAGTTGTGGAGAGAGTGGAGAGTTTCCCATACCTGGGCAGTGTGCTTATGACTGGCTCCAGTTTAACAGCAGAGGTCTCACTCCGAATCAGTCGAGCGGCAATATCTTTTCATCGGTTGCGTAACGCTGTGTGGAAGCTACCTGGTCTGTCGCTCCGCACTAAGCTTCAGGTCTTCTCGGCCACGGTCATTCCTTCCCTTCTCTACGCTTGCGAAACGTGGACCCCCCTAATGGAACATCTTCGCCGGTTAGAAACATTTAGGCTGGCCTGCATACGATCCATCCTGGGTTTAACCAGACTGGATTGTGTGAGGAGCTCACAAATCCTTGAAAGATCTGGGCAGGGTCCCATCGGTGAGCTCCTCCGGCAGGCAAGGCTGCGATGGCTGGGTCATGTAGCCCGCATGCCCAGCCACCGCATGCCGAAACAGCTTTTGTTTGGCCGGATTGAGGGGGCTAAGCGGGCGCGGCACGGGCTAGAGAAGAGATGGAGTGATGTGGTACAGGAGGACGTGGAGCTGAGTGGACTTGCCGATGACTGGTACCAGCGGTGTCAAGATCGGCCTCTGTGGAGGAGGCTCGTGAAGGATGCTACTGGGCAGTTGGAGGCAGTCGCCCTCCAACAACAATGGAAGGCGGAGAAGCGACGCTCAGAACAACGAGCGGAGCGCCGGGTGGCTAAAGCACAGCAGGTTGGCACAGTAGGGGGCACAGGTGGTGCATCAGCCAGTCATCTCAGTCAGTCGACCCGTGGCACCTGGGTCTGCCCCGTGACCTCCTGCCAGCGGGCGTTCGACACTTCACGTGGCCTCAGGGTGCACATAGCCTGGCACAAGCATCGTGGTGACGTCACCACCACTTAGTGGCGAATGGCGGTTGTTGTTGCTGTATATCTGTATCTGTGTGTGTGTCTACGCGTATCTCTCTCTGTGTATCTGTGTGTCTCTCTGTGTATCTGTGTGTATATCTACGTGTGTGTGTATCTGTATGTGTGTGTGTATCTGTGTGTGTGTATATCTGTGTGTGTGTGTCTCTGTGTGTGTGTATCTGTGTGTGTATCTGTGTATCTGTGTGTATGTGTCTCTGTGTGTGTGTCTACGAGTGTGTCTGTGTGTGTGTGTGTGTATCTGTGTGTGTGTGTGTCTCTGTGTGTGTGTCTACGAGTGTGTCTGTGTGTGTATCTGTGTGTGTGTGTGTATCTGTGTGTGTGTATCTGTATCTGTGTGTGTGTATCTGTATGTGTGTGTATCTGCATGTGTGTGTGTGTATCTGTGTGTGTATCTGCGTGTGTGTATCTGCGTGTGTGTGTATCTGTGTGTGTGTCCACGAGTGTGTCTGTGTGTGTGTGTATCTGTGTGTGTGTGTGTCTCTCTGTGTGTGTCTACGAGTGTGTCTGAGCGGTCTAATTTTCTGTACCGATGAAATCGATGGAGCTCTGGTGGTTAGAGACAATGACGTATGGTGAGGGAGTGGTGAGCAGGTGGTGAGCCCCCTCCACTTTCACCCTCACCCCATACAGCCACTGCAGGTGCCTCACCAGCGCCTTGACTGTCCTGGGTGAGAGAGACACTCATCAGTACACTCACCACTACACTCATCACCACTACACTCACCACTAGACACTTACTGTCACTAAACAATCACCACCACCGCTACACTCACCACCACCACTACACTCACCACCACCACTACACTCACCACCACCACTACACTCACCACCACCACTACACTCACCACCACCGCTACACTCACCACCACCGCTACACTCACCACCACCGCTACCACTCACCACCACCGCTACACTCACCACCACCGCTACACTCACCACCACCGCTACACTCACCACCACCACTACACTCACCACCACCGCTACACTCACCACCACCGCTACACTCACCACCGCCACTACACTCACCACCGCCACTACACTCACCACCGCCACTACACTCACCACCGCCACTACACTCACCACCACTACACTCACCACCACTACACTCGCCACCACTACACTCGCCACCACTACACTCGCCACTACTACACTCACCACCACCACTACACTCACCACCACCACTACACTCACCACCACCACTACACTCACCACCACCACTACACTCACCACCACTACACTCACCACCACTACACTCACCACCACCACTACACTCACCACCACCACTACACTCACCACCACCACTACACTCACCACTACACTCACCACCACCACTACACTCACCACCACCACTACACTCACCACCACTACACTCACCACCACTAGATACTCACCACCGCTACACTCACCACCACCGCTACACTCACCACCGCTACACTCACCACCACCACTACACTCACCACCACTACACTCACCACCACTACACTCACCACCACCGCTACACTCACCACCGCTACACTCACCACCGCTACACTCACCACCACCACTACACTCACCACCACCACTACACTCACCACCACCACTACACTCACCACCACCACTGCACTCACCACCACTACACTCACCACCACTAGACACTCACCACCACTACACTCACCACCAAACACCTCACCACCACAACACAGACCCATAGACTCACCACACACTCACCACACACTCACCACACACTCACCATACACTCACCACACACTCACCGCTACAATCATCACGGAGACCCATAGACTCAGCACTGCAGTGGGTGAGCGAGTGGGTGAGCGAGTGGGTGAGCATGTAGGTGGGCGAGTAGGTGGGTGAGCGAGTGCGTGTGAAACTGGGTGGGTGAGTGCGTGATTAGGTGAGTGGGCGACTGGGCGAGAGGGTGAGCGGTGAGTGAGTGGGTGAGTAACTGGGTGAGTGAGTGAGTGGGTGGGTGAGTGGCTGAGTGAGTGGTGAGTGGGTGAGTGAGTGGTGAGTGGGTGAGTGAGTGGTGAGTGGGTGGGTGAATGAGTGGCTGAGTGAGTGGGTGAGTGAGTGGCTGAGTGAGTGAGTGAGTGGGTGAGTGACCGGGTGAGTGAGTGAGTGGGTGAGTGAGTGAGTGAGTGGGTGAGTGAATGAGTGAGTGGGTGAGTGAGTGGGTGAGTGAGTGGCTGAGTGAGTGAGTGAGTGGGTGAGTGACCGGGTGAGTGAGTGAGTGAGTGGGTGAGTGAATGAGTGAGTGGGTGAGTGAGTGGGTGAGTGGGTGAGTGAGTGAGTGGGTGAGTGACTGGGTGAGTAAGTGGGCGAGCGAGTGGGTGAACGAGTGTGTGTGAAACTGGGTGGGTGAGTGTGTGATTAGGTCAGTGGGTGACTGGGTAAGCGAGTATGTGGGTGATCGAGAGAGTGAGTGGGTGGGTGAGTGAGAGAGTGAGTTTTTGGGTGGGTGAGTGGTTGAGTGAGTGGGTGGGTGAGTGGGTGGGTGAGTGGGTGGGTGAGAGAGTGAGTGGGTGGGTGAGAGAGTGATTGGGTGGGTGAGTGGGTGGGTGAGTGGGTGACTGGATGAGCGAGTATGTGGGTGAGTGAGAGAGTGAGTGGGTGGGTGAGTGAGAGAGTGAGTGGGTGGGTGAGTGAGAGAGTGAGTGGGTGGGTGAGTGAGAGAGTGAGTGGGTGGGTGAGTGGGTGGGTGAGTGGGTGGGTGAGTGGGTGGGTGGGTGAGTGGGTGGGTGGGAGAGTGAGTGAGTGAGTGGGTGAGTGAGCAAGTGAGTGGGTGAGTGAGCGAGTACGTGGGTGAGTGAGTGGGTGGGCGAGTGGGTGAGTGGGTGGGTGAGCGACTGGGTGAGCGAGCGACTGGGTGAGCGAGATAAGGAGATATCTTGCCATGCGGTGACGTTGAAAGCGCTGCTATCTACGGCACGGCACAGCGGAGTTGGAGATAGCGGAGGAGGGAGGGGGGAGGAGGGAGCTATGTGGTGAGTGAGTGAGTGGGTGAGTGAGTGAGTGGGTGGGTGAGTGAGTGAGTGAGTGGGTGAGTGGGTGAGTGAGTGGGTGGTTGAAGTGGGAATGAGTGGGTGAGTGAGTGGGTGAGTGAGTGGGTGAGTGAGTGGGTGAGTGAGTGAGTGGGTGAGTGGGTGAGTGAGTAGGTGAGTGAGTGAGTGAGTAGGTGAGTGAGTGGGTGGGTGAGTGAGTGAGTGAGTGGGTGAGTGAGTGAGTGAGTGGGTGAGTGGGTGGGTGGGTGAGTGAGTGAGTGAGTGGGTGAGTGGGTGAGTGAGTGGGTGAGCAAGTGGGTGAGCAAGCGAGTGAGTGAGTCGTTGAGTGAGTGGGTGAGTGAGGGAGTGGTTGAGTGAGTGGGTGAGTGAGTGGGTGGGTGAGTGGTTGAGTGAGTGAGTGAGTGGGTGAGTGAGTATTTGAGTGAGTATTTGAGTGAGTGGGTGAGTGAGTGAGTGGGTGAGTGAGTGGGTGAGTGAGTGAGTGAGTGGGTGAGTGGGTGAGTGAGTAGGTGAGTGAGTGGGTGAGTGAGTGAGTGAGTGGGTGAGTGGGTGAGTGAGTGGGTGAGTGAGTGGGTGGGTGAGTGGTTGAGTGAGTGAGTGAGTGGGTGAGTGAGTGTTTGAGTGAGTGGGTGAGTCGGTGGGTGAGTGGGTGAGTGAGTGGGTGAGTGAGTGGGTGAGTGGTTGAGTGAGTGAGTGGGTGAGAGAGTGGTTGAGTGAGTGAGTGGTTGAGTGAGTGGGTGAGTGGGTGAGTGAGTGGGTGAGTGGGTGAGTGAGTGAGTGGTTGAGTGAGTGGGTGAGTGAGTGAGTGAGTAGGTGAGTGGGTGAGTGGGTGAGTGAGTGAGTGGTTGAGTGAGTGAGTCGTTGAGTAAGTGGGTGAGCGAGTGGGTGCGAGGCTACCTGGGGCAGCTTTGTCTGTACACACAGCACACAGACAAATCTCTCCCAGGTAGCCTCTAACAGGGCTGTAGGGGCAAGTGCTGTTAGTAGCGAGTAGCAGCAGCAGTGTCTATGTACTACACACACCACACACAGACAAAGCTCCCCCAGGTAGCCTCTAGCAGGGCTGTAGGGGCAAGTGCTGCGCGGGAGGAGGGTGGTGGCAGGAGTGATTCATGAGCGAGAGAGAGGGAAAGAGAGATGGAGGAGAGAGATGGAGAGAGAGAGGCAGGAGAGATCTTCTGAGAGATTCAGATTAAGGTAGAACAGAGGGAGAGCGTGAGGATACCCTGACTCACCTCCTCACTCACCCACTCACTCACTCACCTACTCACTCACTCACCCACTCACCTCCTCACACACTCACTCACCCACCCACTCACCTCCTCACTCACCCACTCACCTCCTCACACACTCACTCACCCACTCACCTCCTCACACACTCACCCACTCACTCACTCACCCACTCACCTCCTCACACACTCATCCACTCACTCGCCCACCCACTCACCTCCTCACTCACTCACCTACTCACCCACTCACTCACCCACTCACTCACCCACACACTCACCCACTCACTCACACACTCACACACTCACTCACACACTCACTCACCCACACACTCACACACTCACCCAATCACTCACCTAATCACTCACCTACTCACTCACCCACTCACTCACTCACCCACCCACTCACTCACCCACCTCCTCACACACTCACCCACTAACTCACTCACCCACCCACTCACCCACTCAATCACCCACTCACCTCACGCACTCACTCACTCACCAAACTCACCCTCTCACCCACTCACCCACTCACCCAATCACCCACTCACTCACCCTCTGACCCAATCACCTACTCACTCACTCACCCACCCACTCACTCACTCACCTACCCACCCACCCACTCACCCACTCAATCACTCACTCACCAAACTAAATCACCCACTGACTCACTCACTCACCCACTCACCCACTCACCCACTCACTCACCCACCCACTCACCCACTCACTCACCCACTCACTCACCCACTCACTCACCCACCTACTCACCCACTCACTCACCTACTCACTCACTCACCCACCTACTCACCCACCCACTCACTCACCCACTCACTCACCTCCTCACACACTCACCCACTCACCCACCTACCTACTTACTCACCCACCTACCTACTTACTCACCCACTTACCCAATCACCCACTCACCCACCCACTCTCACTCACTAACTCACCTCCTAACCCACTCATTCACCCACTCACTCACTTACCCACCCACCCACTCACCCACTCACTCACCTCCTCACTCACTCACCTCCTCACTCACTCACCCACTCACTCACTCACCCACTCACTCACTCACCAAACTCACCCACTCAATCACCCACTAACTCACTCACTCACCCACTCACTCACTCACCCACCCACTCACTCACTCACTCACCCACTCACTCACCCATACATTCACTCACCCACTCACTCACACACTCACCAACTCACTCACCCACACACTCACTCACCCACCCATACATTCACTCACCCACTCAAGCATTCACTCACTCACCTACTCACTCACTCACCCACTCACTCACCCACTCAGCCTCACCCACTCACCAACCCACTCACTCACCTACTCACTCACCCACCTACTCACTCACTCACCCACTCACTCACTCACTCACCCACTCACTCACCCACTCACTCACCTACTAACTCACTCACTCACCCACTCACTCACCC